AAAAAGAGGAAGACCCCACCACCACCACCACCACCACACCCCTGAGGTGGATGGGCACTATGCAGCAGCAATGGGCTCAAGCATAGCAGTGATTGTGAAATTGATGCAGAACCTGCAGTGTTTCATTTTGTTGTGTATAGGGGCGCTATGAGTCGATACTGACTCGATGACACGTACCAGTAACTAACAAAGAAGAACCATGAGTGGAATGTGTCCTTTGAACCCGGGGTCTCTGTGCTGTGAAGCTCCTAGATTGATGCCAAGACACAATGAGATCTACAGGGAATGCTGGGTCTACAGATGGTGAAAAGTGACAAGGACTTTCCCTCAGAGCTGACTCAGAGAGAAAGCATGCCATAGAGCCAACACTTCTGCTTCCTAACCGTGAGAGAATAAATTTCTCTTTGTTAAAGCCATCCACTTGTGGTACTTCTGTTATAGCCGCACTAGATTACTAAAACATGTTGCATTTTATACATAATAAAAATTTCACATTGTGTTTTAATTTTTTATGAAAAACCCTATGACTGTTATGTGGAACTTTTTTGAGGAGGACAGGAGTGGTAGGTACTGCAGTCATCTTGGTAAGAGTTGATAATGGCTTGAACTAGGATTGCAGCCATATGGAATAGTAATAGTGATAGATTGGAAATTTGTTTTAACAGCAGGGATGGTAATGTACAATATTTAAAGACATAGCTAATGTTTCTGAATCATACACATAAAAAGTGTTGAAATGACAAACACTTGTTTTATATATATATAATGGGTAAGTCATAAAGCATTTCTATAGGGTTTCAGTTCATATTTGCATTAGTTTATTGTACACAAAACATGTTTAAACATGTCTCTGTGACCAGTAAATGGCTGCAGACAAGTTCTCTGAGTAATATACTTGTCATACTCTTGTTGGTGGCTTTATTGTTTTTTTTTTAAAGGTACAATAAAAAACAGTGGCTTCTGAAGGAATTTACTGGATCATATAAATTCAAGTCAGAGAGGTCATCTTAGAAGATTATAGTGACTGGTTTTTTTTGGTATTCCAAAGGGTAATTGTGATAAATTTTCTCTAAAAACACAAAACTGTCATAGAGGCTTTTTAGAAAGATCTTTTAAGACAGCTGAAAACTGCATTGGTGAAGAAAAGTCCAGGAAAGTTGTAGTTGAGAATTTTTTGCCATCACAATAATGCACCTGCTTATTCTTTGAGGGTAGCAAGGACTGTACTATGAGAATTTCATTGAGAAACTTTACCATATCCACTCTACAGCCACACTCATGCCCTATCTGACTTCTTTTTCATCCCATGTCTCAAAGAATATTTAAAACGAACATGATTTGAATCCTCAAGGTGCCAGGATAGCCATTTTGACATGGTGTCACTCTTAGAGTGAAGAATTCTTCAGGAAGACTAGAGTGCTATAAATGCTACCTTCAGAAGTGTACACCTAGATGGAAGATAC